TGTCTTCTGTATAACACCATCAGGGAGCTGCAGATATGAATGTGACCCCCCTTAGCCATCTCTTCTCCAGGCAGAAGCAGCCCAGCTCCTGCAGCTTATCTTGTATGCCCTGTGCTCTGGCCCCTGACCAGCCTGGTGGCCTCTACTGGACTCATTCCCATGTGTCAACATGTGTCCATGCAGTGGGCCAAGTACGTTTAATGCATCACATAAGTAATGTGAAACCATGTTAGCTTTCATCTGTAGAGTACAAAGTTCTGCGTACAGTCCTGTTAGTTCAGGAGAACATTCACTGGCATTATCTGAATCAAACTGTATTTAGTAAGTTCATAAACACATGGATATGTTCTCATATCGCTATGTTTTATTCGTATCAGTGACTTTGTGCTTTGTTGCTTAGTTCAAACAGGGCCTTGGGGCACTAGGTGGGAGGCAGATCTTTCATTTGTGCTGTATCTGTTTCTCCGGGCATGTGGCTTACTACAAATAGTTACTGACCACACTGCAGCCAAGAGAAAGACAAGATGGAAACTGCTGTCTGAATTGATTTAGGGGCCATTATGGAATGATTAGAGGCCATTTCATAAAATAACTACAAATATTTATTGTTATTTCCCACTTTAACAACAACTATTTTTTAATCAAATAATGTGACAAAACCCAGGAATGTTTGGAAAATTGTATTAAATAATTTGTCATCCATTTATCAGTATATTACTTACACTGAGAAGTTGCGTATCCTCTAAGAAAATTTCCCAACATCAGTTTTGATACTTCCACAGAATATGAAATTGATACTGGCAAAAACTGTAATGGAAAATGTAAAACAAGAAATTCCTTGGGTAAATGAGACACGATGTTGTATAATGGCGAAATCCTGCCCTGGTGTTAGCCCGCAGCTCCTCTGATGCTCAGTACCATAACATGTACTTGGTACCCCAAGACGTGGTACTGCTGTTGTTTACTTGCAGATCTCTGCCCTCATGCTGGCTTCTGCATGCATGAGGATTTTCTTTTAGCCAAATAGTCATTAGCCATATGCTTCATCTGAATTTGAGGATTAGAAGAACAGTAATGAAGTGGATTACAGCATGAGATCAGTGGCAGAATTGCTGACCAAATCCTCTTTCTAACTGTGCTTCCAGGAGTAGCTAAGAACGGAGCAACTTGTCCTACAGCATGAGCTTAGCCAGCTGTGGGATTTTTCCATGCTGTTATCAGAGGCAGGATAATCTGGCGCCATAACCCCAGGTGGGAATGATGTGGACGTTGGCTGACTGAAGGCTGTGCATCAGTCTGAAACCTGGTGATTTCTGGGTGTTGTTTTTGTGGCTTGCCTGGAGGGGGTATTCGAGTGGCTCAGGGGAGACTGGTCTTCTCCATTTAGCACTTAATTGTCCCAGACATGAGTCCCTTGAGTGTCTGTGGGTGATTGGTAAGAGAAGGAATGGATCTGCTGAACAACAGACAGGTGTTCTGGTGCTTGGAGGAAATCTCTGTGTTGGGCCAGTAAGTGCCAGACCCAGTCCTGAACCTGGCAGATGCAGTGGAAAATTTTTCTTTGGTGTGTCCAGGCAGCACACGCCAGCCTTTGTCAGGAAGGTGCTCTCCCACCCATCAGGAGAGAGGTCAGTCCTGCCCAGAGGACAGCACCGTCCAGGGCAGGGAGCAGCCTGGAGCAGCAGCATGCAGGCACCGGGCAGGAGGCAACCTGTCAAAAGCTGCCAGGTTGGGACTCGGAAGACTGCGAGGATGATTTGCAGAGGTCTCGCTGTCTGGCTGGAGAAGGCAGCGGCAAAGTTCCTATACAACCCAGGAAGATGTGCCTCCCTCCAGCTGTAGAGAGACTGTATGTGTGAACTGGTGAAGGCAACAAGCATGGCATGTGACAGCAGCCTCAGCATGTTCCTGTACACTCGCAGGGCAAAAGTCTCTGGTTTCCAGAGATGCTGTCCACAAGGCACATAAGGGCAATACATCTTGAAGATGTGCCAAATCTGCCTAAAATATTCATGCATGCTCCCTTTAATTTATAGAAACAAAGCCAGCAGTGTAATTATTTTAATGTTTATCCGTGTGAAGAAACCCACCACTTTTAGGTAAAAAAGTAACCTCTATATCCACTCAGTCATGCTGAGGCCTGCGTAACACGCCAGTGCCCAGGATAGGTGATTCCATGCACTGTAGTGCTATTTATACATTTAAGCATCCGAGTATACACTTTAGACCACTGTGATGTATGGAACACCAACACAATTGCTTGGGCTAAATTTCAATGATTTCAGCTGAATTGCATTTGATTAATGGATGGTGCCTTGTTTGTTCAAGGGAACACCTGTAAAGCATCTTTTGCTCTGCAGCTTCCATGGTGCTGAAGTCTATCCTGAGCACGATGCTTAGCTCCCATTACCAAAATAAACCCAGGTACGCTTGCCATTTTGGACTTGTGAAAGGGATCATGATGAGAAATTTAGCTTAAAGGCAGAACCCGCTCCTGCAAAATTACTCCTGCTAAAACAGCAGAGGTGCAGACCTCCTCCTAGGAAGGAGCAACTTGGAGATAGCACAAAGGCTGGAGTCGTGACACAGACAGGAAAATTGGGACAGGCTCCATGACTTAAGTATCGTTTTCTTAAATATCTGTAGGGAGAAAGGACCTACTGTACTTTCAAGCATATTTGATGCTATGTAAACAGGTTCCCAAACCTTCGGTGTCTTTTGTTCTTAAGATGGCTTGGCGGAACACTTTGAATTGGTCAGTGTGTTTAACTGTGACTAGGTCTGTAAATAAGTGTTGCCTGCTGATAAGGTTCAAGTGACATTTTCAGTGGCATTTGACAGAATTTAACCTGCTTTCAAGTCTTCTGCTGAGCTCTTCTATACCCAGGCAGTGAAACTGTGAAGAAGTCCTTGATTTTATCAAACCATAGCTAAATACCGTTAGATTCACAGGTTAGACACAGTCCTGCCAGACACACCTGTCTAAGCTTAACCAATTCTCCTGATGGCAAAGCAACACCTGACCCGTGTTCTTACCTAGTGGTGAATATCTGGGAATGCAGAAAAAAACCCACTCAAAACCAGAAAACAAAGCAGAGACTTTTAGCCTGATCTGCAAACAGGTAGTACTGCATGTTGGACCACAAGATGGGGACTAGGGGGGTAAAGCCCCTCTCACTGTAAGGGAATACCAGGTTCATGACCACCTGAGGAACCTGAGCATACATAAGTCTATGGGACCTGATGAGATGCATCCCAGAGTCCTGAGGGAATTGGCTGGTGTCGTTGTCAACTCACTCTCCATAATATTTGAAAAGTCACGGCAGTCAGGTGAAGTCCCTAGTGACTGGAAGAAGGGAAATATTGTGCCCATTTTTAATAAAGGGTAGAAAGGAGGACCCTGGGAACTACCAACCTGTCAGCCTCACCTCTGTGCCTGGGAAGATCATGGAACAGATCCTCCTAGAAGCTATGCTAAGGCACAGGGAAGACCTTTCTCTCTGAACTGGGGAGATACAGATTTGATGGGTGGATTGTTCGGTGGACAATGAATTGGTTGGATGATTGCATCCAGACGGTCAATGGCTTGACATCCAAATTGATACTGGTGACAAGTGGTGTCCCTCAAGGGTCTGTAATGGACCATTGCTGTTTAATATTTTCATCAATGACTTAGCGAGATCGAGTGCACCCTCAGCAAGTTTGCAGACGACACCAAGCTGAGTGGTGCAGCTGACACATCAGAAGGACAGGATGCCATCCAGAGGGACCTGGACAAGCTTGAGAAGTGGGCCTGTGGGAACCTAATGAAGTTCAACAAGACCAAGTGCAACGTCCTGCACATGGGTTGGGGCAACCCCTGATATCAATGCAGGCTAGGGGAGGAGGGGATTGAGAGCAGCCCTGCCGGGAAGGACTTGGGGGTACTGATGGATGAAAAGCTAGACATGACCCGGAAATGTGCACTCACAGCCCAGAAGGTCAATCATCTCATGGGCTGCATCCCCAGAAGTGTGGCCAGCAGGGTGAGGGAGGGGATTCTGCCCCTCTGCTCCACTCTGGTGAGACCCTCCCCTGGGAGTCCTGCGTGCAGCTCTGGAGCCCTCAGTACAGGAAGACATGGACCAATTGAAGTGGGGCCAGAAGAGGCCACAAAAATGATCCAAGGGCTGGAGCACTTTTCCTGCAAGGGCAGGCTGAGAGAGTTGGGGCTGTTCAGCCTGGAGAAGAGGAGGCTGTGGGGACACCTGATTGCAGCCTTCCAGTACCTGAAGGGGGCCTAATAGGAAAGATGAGGGAAATCTTTTTAACAAGGCCTGCTGAGACAAGGAGTAACGGTTTTAAACTACAGGAGGGTAGATATAGACTGGATGCAAGGAGGAAATTTTTTACCATGAGGGTGGTGAAACACTGGCACAGCTTGCCCAGAAAGGTACTGGAGGCCCCATCCCTGGAAGCATTCAAGGCCAGGTTGGATGGGGCTCTGAGCAGCTTGGTCTGGTTGAAGATGTTCCTGCTCACTGTGGGAGTGTTGGGCTAGATGACCTCTAAAGGTCCCTTCCAACCCAAAGCATTCTATGTTCTGCCTAAGATGCTCCCTGATGGGAGATGTTGCTCTGCAGAGATGGATGGTGGACCCGCTGTTTACTCCCCTCAATATTTTGTGCTCCTTACATCTCTACCAGAATCCTAAATAGGTTTCTTTTGTCTAAAAGGCTGTTTGTTTTGGTTTTGACCACTGAGAACATGTGATACTTGTCTCAAGCTATTAACCAGATGTCTGGCCAAAATCAATTGCCCAGCAGATGCAGACCATTACCTGAAAGTCAAGACCTCAATAAATATTACCAGCCTCATTGTACTGGTGACAGATTCTGCTGGTTGTTTTATGTCACAGTTGAACAGTTTAGACAATGCATTTGTATATATTTGCAGTTAGCCTTGGAGAGACCATCTCACGAGCAGAGCAGGAGCAGGCAGCCTGCAGACTCCAGAAATACTTCCACCATGACCACGGCAGGTGTTTTTGTGCTCCTCTCCTTTGTGCTTTGCTGCTTCCCAGGTGAGTAAGTCTCAAGGCGTCGCAGAGGCTTCATGTCTGACTCCTGGCTGTCTTTAAAAGGATAAGATAGTGGCTTCAAAGAGAGAAATTCTTCTCCTGCTAAGAGCTAGGCTGCCTCAGTACGCTGGCATCGCGTAGGATGCAGGAGCAGATTTCAGGAGAGTCTTAAATGGATCGCTGTTGTAGCTGATTGTCATGAATACAAATAACTGCAAATGGAGTTCTGTGCTGGTAACTAGTACTGTTACGCTTTTTACACTGCTGTTTTAATGCCGTTACACTGCTTATACTTGTTGTTGTGCAATTACAACAAATGGATAAATACTTGAAACAAGGCTGTAATGAGGTGGTCAGACCTCCAGTAGCTAGTCACAACAATATTGTAATAGCACAAGCAAGTTCTGTGCAGAAGCCTGGCAACTTTCCTGCAATACTTTTGCTGTTAATGGGGAAACAAGAGATGAAAACAAGACAGAGTCTGATGTTCTCACTGCATATTTACAGCTGATGAAATTACAAAGTCAAAGACAATTTTTTTTTCACACTCGGCTTCTTTAAAATGCCTGTTTCTGACAACATATGTTGTATGTATTTGCTTATCCTGCAGGTGACTATTCGCATCTATCTGTATTGACTCAGGTTTCTTTTCAGATAGGTAGCAGCGGCTCTTTATGGTCAAAACGGATGTGTAAAAAGATAAGCAAGGAAAAGCCATTTTATTTTCAATTAGTAAGTCTACCTATCTCAAAACAAAAAAGAACAAATCTGTTCAAAAACATATTTCATCACAGCCAGCAATAAGCAACACTATTATGCTTATCAACATAGAAAAAAGAAATTCATACATAGTTTATTTAGTTCAGGAAACTAATCATTGGAAATCATTCAGTTTGGTCCTGTGTATAGGAATCTCACATCCAGATTTCCAGCTTTAACTGAAGTCTTATCATACCAGCTTTGTTTCACACTTTATGCCTCTCCTTTCTTTTCCAGATGCTGCCTTTGGGGTTGAGGTGAGTGGAAGATTTCTTTCTGTCACTTTTCTCGGGTATGTGGCCTGGTAAAGACATAACCAAGGGAATGGGAAAAACCTCAGGCCTGTAGATGCTTAGCTGGTTTTCACCTAGCATCAAATTAGTGTCATTGTAATCAGATTCTACAGTGTAAAACATTAAATTATACTGTTATTGGCTCTACGTCTATGCTGTGTATTAATAATGTAGCAGTAGTAATGATAAAAAATATTGAGATTAATTAATTTTTCACCAACTTTAAACTGGTCTAAGCTTTAAGTTGGTCATGTATGACTGGCTCTAAACGGATACCACTGACTTGTGGTATCAGAACCTACCCAAAGGCAACCTATTGGAAGAATAAAATACTATGAGACACTCCAGCTTCCACACACCAGGTCATTAGTCTTGCTCCTCTGAAAAAAAACTTGATCAGCCTGTTGAGATTGAAAAAGTAATAACAGAAGTGCCCTGGAGGGGCCACAAGAATGTAAGAAAGAGGGACCAGTGGATAGCCTTTGTAAAAGGATACCAAGTGAGCGTGAGAGACCACCACTGATTTACCCCATCTGGGGGGCTGCATGGCCATAGCCCTCTCCTCCTCCTCCTCCTTTCCTGCTGTCTTGGGAGGTCTCTGCAGGAAGGATTCACCTGTTACCTGACTGCACCACCAGCACAACTTTGTGCTGTGGTAGTGAAAAACCCACTACAGGTAGTATCTTGTCACAGTCTCATGCAAAATGAGAGTTGTGAATGCAAAATATCTTCTCCACCCTGTTGCTGTACGTTCCCTTAACAGGTGGACTGCAGTGTGTATCCCAACACTACAAATGAGGAAGGCAAAGAGGCATTGGTCTGCACCAATGTCCTCAGCCCCATCTGCGGTTCCGATGGAGTCACCTACAGCCATGAGTGCCTGCTCTGTGCCTACAACATGTACGTACCTCGTAGGACATCTCAGGCAGCAATGCTTAGAACTCCCAGCAGCACCACTTTTCAACAAACAGTGATCTGTCATACGTCACTTCTGTCAATTCCTTCAAAATGAGCTCGGGTATCACTGCGTGGCACTCTGTTGCCTAGGCATTGCTTTAGTCACCGTGTGTCTCTCTTGCTGGTGTAATTTATTCAGGTTTTTCTTCTCCAGCTCAAGCATCATCCAGATGACAACCCCTCCGGCACATCTCATCACAGCAAAGCAGAGCAAAAGGATGGAGAGATGCTCTGCTCTGAACTGCCCGAAACGCTCCTAAAGCTCTCAGGGTCTTTACATCCCTGCTAGCCACTCGGTGCTAGCTGGTCAGGGAGGATGGCTCTACCTTCTCAAAAAATATATACAAGCCTGATTGATTAAAGAGAGTCAGCTTTCCCTTGTATTAGTTACATACTTCTAGCACCGAGGATGTAGCAAGGAGTCTTGGCTGAACTTCCTAACATTTGTCTTTCCCTCTCCAGAGAATATGGAACCAATGTCAGCAAAGACCATGATGGAGAATGCAAGGAAGTTGTCCCTGTAAGTGAAACCAAGGGCAAAACAAGGGGCATGCCTGGCTTCTGAGTGGCCAAAGCTGCCTATTGACTACTGCAAGAAATGATTCAAACAATAAATAAGGGGACATATGAGATGTCAGAATCTTGCATTGGTCATCTTCAAGACCAGGTTGGACAGGGCTCCAAGCAACCTGATCTAGTTAGTGGTGTCCCTGCTCGCTGCAGGGGGGTTGGACTAGATGACCTCTAGGGGTCCCTTCCAACCCAAAACTTTCTATGATTCTATGATCTTCGAGTGAAATGCTATCATAGTGACACACAAAAAAGCATTTTTCCTGCTGTTGTGGTATCTTAAGTAGCCAAACAGGCATACGCACCAGATCTACTTGCTTCCTGTAAGGCTTCACTGTTGCTGTGTTGTGTGTTCCCTCAACAGCTGGACTGCAGTAAATATCCCAACATGACAAATGAGGAAGGCAAAGTGGTGTTGCTCTGCAACAAAGACCTCAACCCCGTCTGTGGTACTGATGGGGTCACCTACAACAACGAGTGCCTGCTGTGTGCCCGTAACCTGTGAGTACTGTGTGTGCAGAGCTCTCCTGTGAGGGACAACGAGTGTTTAGCACTCCTGGCAGCTGTTCTTCTGAATATCAGGGCTTCTACCAAAGCTTTTTCTGTAAGGCATTTGGACTTTGACCCTCCTCTTTCCCTGATAGCTGTACAATGTTTTCCTTTGTGATTAAAAGGAAAATTGTGCTTTGATCTAGAGAGGGAAGTAGAGAGCTGACTGGGGATCTAACGCAGGACAGAATGCTTCTCTTAACTAAGTTATACAGGTCAATGTAGCAGATGCTGCCTTGTAGAGGACAGCGACTGACCTTGTATCTACATTGTCACACAACCTAGGTCCCAGTTCACCCTAACACCCTGGACCCTCCCTTGTCCTTCGCATTGTGCTATAGAACAGTGCTCTGCCAGGCTGTGACACCAGCTGAGCTGGTATCTAGAGCCACATGGACACAGCCTAAGCTGGAGGTCTCTCGTATCCCACACGTTGTACCTGAGGCTCATCAGCACAGCTGGGACGAGGGGGTCAGCAGAGCAGGTTGCCTGCAGAACTCCCTAACATGGGTGTTTTCCCTTCCCAGAGAGCCTGGAACCAGTGTCGGCAAGAAGTATGACGGTGAATGTAAGAAGGAAACTGCTACAGTAAGTGAACTGCGTGATGGGGGACAGGGTTTCAGTCCCGCTGATACCAGTGGAAACACTGCCAGTGTCAGCAGCAGCTCCCAGAGCAGCAGCATGCCATGGGAGTGCAACTGCTGCTGTGCTTCAACACAGGGAAGATTTTGCTTTCTCCACACATAACACACATTATCCGTGCTGACGTCAGAAAAGGAAGCGGGTGACTGCACAGGAAGGGATCAGTAAAAGACTCGCAGCAGAAATAACCCATCAGAGCAGAACTGAGAATAAGAACAGAGAATGGCTTTTGGGGTCAGGCCAATGGTTCACCAAGCCCACGATGGCTTGATGCAGAGCCCACTCTTAGCAGGGGTCATAAGGATTGTGTAGGAGAGAGTAAGAACAGAGTGAGTATGTATGGGACTCTTCCAACCTCCAGCTATTTTCAGGTGGTGGACCTCAGCTAGGCGTGATTTCTGTGTAGTCAGTAAACCTTGCTGGATTTCTCCTTCACGAAATTCCTCAGCCTCTCCCTGGACTCATACACATTTTTTTCACTATGATACCTCTCAGCAAGTGTAGCATTCATTGCACAAAGAAACAAAATCCCACTCTGGCAGCTTCTAGCTAAGTGCTGATCTTCCCGTTTTAACACTACGGGAGAGATACTGGACCCTTACACAGGCACCAGCACCTACCCTTCTCCAGACACCAATTTTTTCCATTTAATTTCCTGGCCAGGTTGGGAACACAGTGCAGTGTGATCACGAGCATGGCACGTTCACCGAGTAAACTGTTGCTGCTGCTTAGAAATGCTGTGGTCAGGTTATGATACACATCTCTTCAAACAGGAAATTATGATCTATTTTTATATTATTAAATTTTTCTGGCATAGGAGAAATTGATACCTCAGTGCATATCAGATTGTGGAAGGAAGTTAATTACTTTTAGTTAGATCATTATCATTCACACTGCAGCTGTGGCTGGGGGTTCAAGCCCTTCTGCTATTGACTCCTTCTTATCCTTCACATTAGACTTTTCTTTTTTTGCAGGTTGACTGCAGTGACTACCCTAAACCTGCCTGCTTGCTTGAGTACATGCCTCTCTGTGGCTCTGACAACAAAACATACGACAATAAGTGTAGCTTCTGCAATGCAGTCGTGTATGTACAAACACGGATCACATTCGTGTCATCCCTTCCCTCCTATAGGCACAAGTCTGCACAGTTGCCACTTTTCTCATTTGCTGACAGGTGTTGATTAGGGATTCGGGGCAGGAGAACACCAGCCATCATCACCACCATTCTTTTTTTTTTATTAGAGCATACAAGGAGCTATCTGTGGTTTGTTAGTGTGAATGCTTTGAAGACTATTAAACTTAATGGAATTTTTCTTGCATGTCGCAAAAAAACGTTAAATTTGAAGTTTCATTACAGTTTCCCCAAAATATTTTCAGTCTTAGGAATCGATTAAATCATTTCACTCATCTCTTAATAATCAAACAGCCAATGGGGCTCTGAGTCTGCAAGTTCTTTGGCTCTGGGGCAGGATCCTATCTGACACCTTCTCTAGGAGCCAAGCAAAAGGACAGATTGTAGCAGGCAGGACTCAGTCTCTAATCCATTTTTTCCTCTTCTCACTTTCAGTGACAGCAATGGGACTCTCAGTTTAAGCCATTTTGGAAAATGCTGAGTATTGGTGCTGAGAGAATTCATCACAGGATCCCCACTGGCAAATCCCAGCTAAAGATCTCACCTCAGTTCATCTCGCCCTCTGGGGAACTCAGCTCACTCCAGATTTTCTTTCCAATAAACTTAAATCAGCAACATTTCTTGTTTCATGTGTTGTCTCATGAAACATTTTCTTCTGATTTGTTGAATCATGATGCCAGGCTGAACAGGTTATGTGCTTATAGCTCTGGGATATAACAAGAACAAGGTCTTGCTCCCCTCCCTCTCATAAAAGGCAGAAAATTAAACACACGCATAAACCTCAGAGCTGTTTGACTTTGCCCATAAATGGTAGTCAGCCTACATTAGTGTTCAGACCCTTTTAGACCTTTGACACTGTAAAGGGCTGAAATACTGCTCTGAAGTGGTGACGCTAGCTGCTCTCTCTCAAGGTATTTCTGGTGCATTTTCCCTGTGCAAGCATCATCAGCAAAACCTGGTCAGTCTGTGGTGATGTCTGCCCCAAGGGCTGAGCCCTGGCCGCCTGAGCACAGCCCTCACCTCAGGCGTAGCACTCTGCAAGGGCAGGCTGCTAGCAAAGCCTGCATTTTTAAGACGTGTGAGTGGACGCTGTCTGCGTGTCTGGGTCCTACAAATCACATGTTTCTAGGTTTTTGTCATCTTGAACTCGTTCTTTAGTAATCTCCCAGTGTTTTAAGACAAATGCCCTCCTAGGGATGGTTCCTAATCCTCCCTACTTGTCTTCTCCCTTAGTGTTTAATAATGTAGCACTCTTTGCCAGCCCAAGGAGTATTTCAGCAGTATTTCACCATCCAAGGACAAAGTATACTTCTGTTTTTTGAGTGTGACCTGTCATTGGCACCTTGTCTATGAAATTTATTTTGCTTTTGTCCTCTGTTGGACTATTGAATAGGTGTTTTTTTCATCCACACAGGAGAAACATAAATAAATCGGGCATACCCCTTATAAAAAGTAGTATCTCCCATATGCATTTCTTCTGGGATCCAAAGGGAGGGGGATGCTTGTTTTTCTTGGTGGAATGAGGTCGTCCAAAAAAGCGATGCTTTGGTGGTAAAACAGAGGATGTATGTTGAAACGGGCAGATGGATGAAGCAGTGATTTCCAGATTGGGTTCAACTTTTCTGGGATTCAGGCTGGGGTCTCACATCATCCTGTCATCATCAGACTATCAGTCCCTTACTGCACACCTAACCCACAATGCTAATGGCTTTTAGGGGAAACAACTATTGTAAATTCTCTGCCAATGCCCATAAAAGTTGCTCCATCTCTTGTCCAACCCAAGAACTCCCTGCAGTGTCTGGGACACCCTCTAGCTTGCCTGCCCAGTTCACTGTTTTCCTGGTTCCACTATAACTTAATGATGCTTTACTGGGTTGAAGCATGAAAATAAAAGCAGAGACTTCCCACGCCAGAAGCAGTTCATTCAACAGTTTGCTTGTGACAAAGCAGTGTATGTAAATAGGCACTGATAGGTGCACACAGGGAAAACGGGGCAGCAGTCACTGCTTAGGTTTGTACAGTTGCTCTTTTGCCTGCAGGAATTTTCTATGATCCTTCAGAAGGAAGCTGCCACATATTTCACTTGAAATAACAACACAGAGGGTCTATCTAACCCATCTAAACTTCTTGTGACTCCTGATGATGAAGAAGCATTCTTCGTGGCCTGCAGCATGGCTTACCTCTATTGAGGTTGCCACGCTGACAAAACACCGCGAGTGTTACTGCAGAATGAGGGTGGATAAACCAAATACGAATGCACACAGACATGCGCACGTTCATGTCAGCATGGTTACCACCTGAGGGCAGAATTAAGGCTACGTTTGCTGAGCAAAACACAGGCTCCGCTGCAGGCAGATGCTTCAGCCACCATGCAGACAGCGGGTGCGTCGCCGCTGTTTGCTCTAGCCCTGCGCTGCATCCCAGGTGAGCAGCTCTGCTGCCTCCTACTCTGCCTTGGAGTAAGTGCCGTTTGTCTTTAAAACCACAAAAACATCCTCAGACTGGAAAGAGCTTCATTCTACAAGGACTTATTTACTCCTAGAAAGATAGTGTTGAAAAGACTTGACATCAAAGACTATCACTTATGGGGTAATATTTTAGCAACAGAACTGAGTGGGTAAGAACAACTGTGGGAACAGCTCTCCTCTTAGCGAGAGTTTATGCATAATGAAAGAAGTGACATGTACGTGGTACAACCCGGAGACTCAGACATCCAGTATTTAACCTCAGAAATGTTGCAGAAACACAAATTACTTTACTGAATGAAAGCGAACATTTCTTGTAGTCATCCTGAACTAAGAAGCAATTTGAGAGCCTAAATAGTTGAAGCTTTAGAAAAGTTACATCTCACTAAATACTCCTCTCAATTAAGAGCTGTTGTGGAAAGCGTACAAGAAGCTGACTCTGTGTACTTGCCAACTTTACGACCCTGTTTGCCTCAATAACTTGTTCAGAGCCGTGGAAAATCCAGTTTTCTTCTTTTGTTTCGTACACCTTTTTCGATCTTTGCTGTAACCCTCACTAAAAAAAAATTACACCTCAGAATCAATGTTGCGAACATACAATATGGCATAAAATTTTGCCTGAAATGCCTTTTGTCTAAGAAGTCCTTTGCTAACAAACACTGAATTGAAAGTTGTGTATTCAGGACGTACATTCACAGTTCTTTTAGTTCTAACAGAACTCATGAATTTCATTTGTATCATATTTCCTTCTTTTCTTCTTTTTTTCCAGATGCTGATGCAATGGTAGAGGAGGTAAGGGATAGATCTTTCTATTTTCCGTCGTTTCTTTCCTTAAAGCAGTTTCCCTATAAATCCTTACTAATCGTGTGGTGACTAAGCGTTTGAAGCTCCTGAGTCATCCAGCTGTCTGAACAGTATTTGCCACAGATATTATTGGGTGAAATTGCCATTTTCATCTGATGCTGGTTTCAACAAGTAGTGCAGTATTCAGTTAGTGTGCAAGTTGTCAAAATTACTGCAGCTGCACTGGCAATGCTTACACAGGCTCTACACTGCTGGCGGCAACACACCACCGTACCCCTGCCCTGGGCTTTTTCTCAACATCTGCTGCTGGCCATTACTGAGGGGAGCTCAGGGCATGTGGGGGTCTCCTAAAGGCACCTTACATAGCTGTTGTTGAGAGGTTTTTTGTGAACTTACATCGCATTTATCTACAGATGTACTGCATTGACTACACGGTCTCCAGCCCTGTCTGTACTCTGGAGTATGCCCCACACTGCGGGTCCAATGGTGAAATATCTGCCAGTAAATGCTTCTTCTGCGATACCTTCCTGTACGTATGAAAATAAATCTCTTCACTAACTAAATGGCATGGTAACTTTGCTAAAACTAACTAATCAGTCTTGGAGATCGGTTGGAGAAGTAAAGTTCTTTTATTTTGTGTTTACCTGGCCTCTTACTACCAAGAGTCAGATTTTTTTTTGGAAGTATTTGCCAGGAATACTTTTCTTTCAGGTATGAAGAGGTAGCATTTAGTAGAGTTGTTCATTTCCCTCTTAAGCAATTTGCCGAAGAGCTCTCTTCCAGCAAACAGAGTCTATCTTCTATAGACTCTTTGTTCTTCCTTTAAATTAAGTCTTTCCCTTGTCTTTGAATGTTAAGACTAAAGTGAAATATCTGGAATAGTGTTCATAAGTTTTCTGTTTTAAATTCCTCTGTGATATATACTTCACCAGAGGGAGAGACAAAGAGTAAAAGCCCAGATGTTCTGTCTCTGAGGTACTGATTTCTTTCTCTGCAGCAGAAGCCATAAGACTCTTCATTTGAGACCTCTTTGAGAGTGTTAACTTCTCGACAGGCTTCAGCTCAGAAAGAGGAATCCTCCCTGGCAATGTTCCCCATGGCAGATGCTCCCCTAAAGCTTTGTCCTGAAACTTGGTTACTCCCGATTCAGCTTGAAATCTCTGCTTAATAAAAAAAGACATCAGTGTTTATGTCTTGCTTTAATAATATGTCTCATTCTGGTTTTACCTAAGATGTTGCATGACATCACTGCAACAATCCTGGGGTGCGGGTATTAATGGGCATATTACAGGGAGATGGAATACACTGCTCTGATCTACAAAGAAATCAACCTGAACTGCAAAGGGAATGGGTAGATGTTGAGGGCACCTGCCTTCATCCAGCTTTCCTACAGAAAGCCAGGCTGGAGCTGCATTGTTCTGCAATGCTCCAATCCATTTATTCCACAAAGGCTGTCTCGGACAGAAACTCTCTGCTGGGGTGAGAGGAACTGGCTGCCTCCCTAACCTGGCCAATACCTGCTGCCTCCCACCTGCGTTACTGTGTGGCAGACTTTGGCAGCACGAAGAGGTCCCGACGAGGGCTGAACATACACATAATTAGAGATAGTCCCGCAACTTTTGCAGCTGGGGGTGTTCTGTGGGTGCTGTGCAGAAGCCGTGCAGGCACAGAAGGTCTTGCTGGCACCAGGAGCTGCTCATCCCTGTTTCAGTTTCCAGGGTTAGCCCTGATTTCTTATGCCCAGAAAAGAAGTGGTGAAGAAGGGTAGTTGTTCCCAGCAACTTCTCTTCCTCTTGCAAGCAGGGTTGGAAACACTCCTTTAGGTGAGAGAAGCCCTTTTGCAATCCACTCTGCCTCCCAAAGCAGAACAGGGTGTTTTCTCTGGGCAGGCAGATACCTGGCTGCCCACGTTTGTGTTTGCAGCATTCGTCAGTGCAGGGTATTGCAGAAAAACAGTGGGCAGTCAGTCCTAACAGACCTGATGTTCAGAGGATTGCTAGCAATTGCTACCGCAGTCCGTTTCTGCACCTCGCCCACCACTTAGCTGCTGCTTGTAGGTAATTATGTCGACTGTCGCTTGTAGAGGATCCTTTGAGATTCTTCGGCCTCTGGAAATCTCAGCTGATGAAAGGAAGGGCTCAGAGTCATAGCGTTAATTTATTATTCATTAACAGCAAAGCGCTGGCAGTGCGGCATGCTGTACAGGCAGCAGTCTCACAGTCAAATAGTTAATGATCTTAAGTGACAATGTGTCACTTTCCAGAGACTGGAGAGAGCAGCTCTCTGAAGGGAGACAATTTATTTCCAAAAGACATGACTCTTTGCAACCATTTAATGCCAAGTCCCTTCCCGGGCCTGGAATGTCCCTCCTGTGAGAGGGAGGTCTGTGTGCAGGAAGGCATTTCAGTGTCACATGTAATTTCTTAGGACCAAGACAAACTGAGGCTCTCGGAGGTAGTGCCGGGGGTGTGCGGCTCAGGGGCTTCGTGCTCCTTGTACCCCTCCACTGCGCGAAGGAGTGGGGGTAAGAGAACACCAGCTACAGCACCTATTAACTTTCCTGGGGAGCAGCGGAGAGGATGAGGATGGCCCCCAGGAACCATGATGCCTTGGAGACGAGTGGAGTTCCCGATCGTGCTCAAGATCCCAGTGGTCTGCAGAGGGCATCTTCCAGGGGCCATGACTGCTAAGCAGGAGAATCCACCAGGCAATTGAGGGGAAACTGTGAGTAGAAATGGATGGGGACCAATCCTCCACCCTGATGCAGAGCTCAGCTGTGCTCAGGAGTAGCCGAGGGCAGGGCAGGACCCTGGCAGCAACCCTGGCCCCTGCCCCAGGGCCAGCTCCTTAAGACGGAGAGGAAGACAGTCCTCTTTCATGGGCACCTCGTTGGAAATAGTATTTTTGTTGCTGCTCAATAAAATCCTGCCACAACAACAAAAAATCCTCTCACCGTTACTAATCTAACTCTCCCTCCAGGAAATTCAAGGCAGGAAACATTGTCTGCCTGCCGAGGTATTTTATGGTACAATTCTTTAAGCAGTACCTCAGCACTTTATGTCATTATCTGATGTTTGTGAATTTAGGAAACGCCATTCAATTACCCTGCAACCTGATTAACACATTGCATGTAGTTATTTTGTTCTGCTCTATTTTGTATCAGTGCTTCTGTTTTAGTGTATTGTTCTACTTGTTGCTGGCCAGAATATACCTCAGGCCAGTCTAGACCTTTCTGTTAATGCAGTTTCTCTCTGAGGCTTCATTCAGGATAAATGGTTTGTTACCATGTTCTTTCTTGATGCGGAGAAAAATAAAATGGTGTTTTAAAAGAAAATTACTTGGCGACGTCGTTTTTGGGGGCTGGCTGTGTCAGAGCTGTTTGCAGCAAGGCAGAGCCGAGACTCGCTGAGGGGTTGGGATGCACGGGGCCAGATCCTCAGCCTTTCGCTGAATGCGGCTCCCAGACAGTCCAATTATTCCAGACACCCTTGCCTGTCAGATCAATTATGCTGCAGCGACCGGAGATATGCAGGTAGCAATCAGATAGCTGAGCTGCGAGGAGAAATCTCACATGAGTGCGGCAGAGAGCAGGGGCTCTGCTGGCTGTGAACCGAACCGGCGTGCTCATCGCAGATCCGGTTCTGCCCCCGTGTGCGGAGGGGTGCGAACAGCAACCCGTTCTGTCTCTGGGAGCACGGGCTGGAGCGCTCGGTTCCTGGCTACGGTGCAGCGTGCGACAGCGGGAGACGGGAGCAAGGACAGTGACACTGCTGCTGGAATAACAACACGTGGTCTTGCACGCACCCATCCACCTTTTTTTTTTCCCCCAAAAATTTAAAAAGTAGAATTTCCCCTTGTAGCCAAATGAAGCCTGTGACATGTTTTAAACTAAAGCAGGGAACATAAATGAATTTTTCACGTCGTGGTAGATTATAGACTTGCTTGAGATGGGGAGTCTCAAGACCAGAGGAAAAGATTCTCAGGAAAATATCACTGCTATTGGAAGAAATAATGCTGGATTTGAAACTGGGTAGAATTTCCAGAGTTATTGGAAATTTTCCTTAATACAAGAGGATCCATCATATGACTACCAACATTTAGCCATTCATGTGGCCATAACCTTCTTGAATGTTTGCCCTCAAAGAAATTGAAACAGCAGGACAAGTTTGATTTAAACTTTTCTATGGCTCTCATGTCTGTAGAAACATTAAAATAATCCTATGCCCAAAGTCACTTTACTGAGCCCACCATCGTGATGCTCCTGAATATCACAGAGAGGTTTTGGCAGGTGAGTTCACTTTACCCTTTCTGTTTGCAACATGTGTATGACGTTTCTTGAAGCTCGCTCCTCCCGATGCGTGGAGACAGTTTTGACTGCTCCTAATGCCTGTTTTCAACCCATCTGCTGCCCTGCAATTACTTCTGTCCCATTCCCTCTGTTTCCTATTAGTGGAGCTCCTTGTGCAATCACACCTCACATCTCGCCCAGCAGCTCTCACTGCCCTGCCCTGCTTGCTACCAATTATCTCCCATCCTCTCATAGACCCTGTAGCAAGACTCTTTCCTTGCTTCTCTTCTTCTCCCTGGTGCCCTGTGAAGTGGCAGGGGTTACTGGAGGAAAAGAGCTGCTTTTGGAGCAGTCCTGGCTGACCACCCAGACCCTCAGAAGCAACGTGTGGGTCGGGGAGGGGCTCTCCCCAGCAGATCTAATTAATTAAAGGGCGGGTGTTGGCCAAACACGACAATGATGCCGCTCCCTAGCAGAGCCCTTGCCATTCACAGCAGCTCCTGAGGGACCAGCATGGTTTCAGCTTGGGAGGAGAGGAACACAGAGAAGCAGCGCAGTTTCTGGTAACTGGGGGATCTCAGATCTGGAGAAGCTAGGGTTGCAGGGCTGAAGAGGAGACAGGCGACATTCCTGTAGCCTCACTAACCACCACAGAGCAAGCAAATGCCATCTCCACCGCTGGCTGGTGCAAGTGCTGAGGAAGCCTTGTTTTTAGGCTTCTCCATTCTTGCCCCTGGAGAATCACCAGTATTAATGCTTCTGTGGTCACTGCTTCCCTTCCAAATATGCTCACAGTCAGTTCAAGGAATCTGAAAGTCACTCAGGATGTTAAGAATACAACAGCAACAGCTTTCAGAGGAACCCTTCAACTTCTGATATTTGTGAATGAGATCCAAATAGCATTACTCATTTATTTTTCAGGAAAATTATTTCATTGATAGGAACAGGCCAAATCCCGCAAGCTCTATTCTGTGACTACAGTTCCCTTATGCTTTCAGCTACATTTTTATGATTTATCTGCCTATGACAAGACTTTAACATCTCCCAGGATAATAAGAAAAACAATTCTGATTTTCTATTTAAAACTCAGGCTGCTTTTAAGCCACATGTATGAATCAAGCTTCTTCTAAAGCACAAACATGTTCCATCCCTTACTTCCTTCTGTGGCTACCTTAAATCAAAAATGTATTATTTTATGCAATATTCCTTGTTTGTTTTTCCATACATTTGTGATAGAGTTGAACCACTTAACAGAGCCTAGCACATTATTCTTCACTTATCTTCCTTAAAACACGACTTTCAGCTGACACTCTAAATTTAATGCCATATAATAGAGGGGGAAGGGGGGAGCCTAAGGACTCGCCTTCTGTTTGCAGCTGCTGCAAATTTTTCTTTAGTGTCTTCGGTGTTAAGGAGCTGATTTCACCTGCACAAAACACCATTTGCTTGCTATTAAGAGGAAACACTATCCCAGTCCAGGTTTAAGGCTATTTATTCTCCTAATTTCTTAATCAGACTCATGCCTATTGGAGCAGATTAATAACTTCTGCTCTAACACAGAAAAGTCTTCTAAACTTTTGAAGTTTCAAGTAGTGCTCTCTTTCCTTCCCGTTGTTGAGAAGTCCAGTATACCAGAAAACTACAGGAGAGAGTATGGAGAGATTCACTGAGCCCTCAGCATCTTTAAAGTACACTGACGCCTGCCAAACCCTAGATTTTATGTCTGTAAAAGCTCAGTGTCCCTTGCTGCTGCCCTCCCACTCTGGTGTACCATGCAACTCCCCTGGAGCCCAAATACCATCTGGTGTATGTAATACGGTGTGCACAACTTCAAATGCTTTCAACAAATGAGATTTTTTTTTTTTGCTTTACCAACTTCCATATGTAATTTCACAAGTTCTGCTATTGAGACAGTGCTCTTGTTTGGAACGTACAAATCACTCATTGTACAGCAGGGCACCTTTGTTAGCAAGCTGGGTGTAGCTCACATTTTTAATTCTTCTGGGCACCTCTCTAACAAACAAGTATTCTTCAGAGCTCAACTCAATAATCAACACAATTTTCTTAGTTTACAGAGCAAATAATTACTTTATGTGATGACTTCACAAGGTCAGGGAGATGTGTATATATATATATAGTAAGGAGAAAGAAGGCTGAGAACCATCTACTGAACTCAACAGCAACAGATTTGCAAGTAACAGACTATACAACCATCTCCGCTATGAAGACAAGAAGCATTGCCCTCCTTGGGCTTGTGCTTCTCAGCTGCCTTTCTGGTAAGTTATTTTTGTTACAGTCTATGCTAATATCTCTAGTCCTCCTGAACCTTTGCCTTTATATACACATCCTAAAGGAGAGTTCAGCCTTTTGGAAATGTGATGATATAGTAATACATGAGCTCTCTTTTAACGAACTTTATCCTTCTGCAGATAAATACTATACATCAGTAGGATGCATTTGGCTGATTTAAACTTATGACACTTAGTGGGGATAATAGTGGTGCAAAATGAGAAAAGCTTATATCCTATTTATTCTTTAGTGAGTCAAAATTTCTGTTTTCACAAATTATAGATTTTTTTAATCTTATCAGATAACTTCTTGTTCACTCGAGGCATATAAAACATTTGGGAAAACAATAATTTCTTACTAATAAGAAAGTGTATTTGGTTACTCTTTTGGGAAATCGATGATTCTAAAGGAATTTTAGTCAAGGACATTGTACAATTCTTATATTTTATAATCTCTGCTTTTATTGTAGATATTGCTGCTGCTCCTCAGCGACGGGTAAGTAGTAGATCTTCTTTTTCATTTAGTCTTGATTTCTAAGTCTAGATGAAAAATTCATACTCACGCTGTATCCCAGGGAAGGCTTGAGGGAGAAAAAAAAAAAGGAGACTGAGCAAGAAAGGAAGAAGGAAAAGTGTCCCTAAGTATTATATCACCTCTTTTCCCCAAAATAAGAAAATGTTTTTGTCAGAGAAAGATAACTTACCTTATTTGTGATAAAAAAGACACTAATTAATAATGCAGAGCGAGAGTCAGCACAGCACGGAGTGCCAGTAGAAAATCTATACAACTATTGAATAACTGCCTAAATATCTTCCCTGTCTTGATTCCCCAAGGAACGATCATTTTTGCCCACAATGCTTGCCAAAAGTACTGAAAGTCTTAATAGCAAAAAGGTGATTATGTGTACTGTAAGAAATATAGTGTATTTTGTTCCCTCTCTTCTTCAAGATAGAGGGACGCTAGAGAAAAATAATGACTGACAGTAGTCTCCCAATGCCTCCAAAACATGATTAACACAAGCCCACGCTTCTCTCCACTTGGAGACATTACAAGTCCTCTTTAACAGGCCTCCTGCAGCAGGTACCAGCTGCTTGGAAACATGCTGCGTGCCTGTCCCCGCAACTACAACCCGGTCTGCGGGACCGACAGTATGACCTACCCCAACGAGTGCTTCCTCTGCAGAGAAATCTCGTGAGTATAAGGGCTCCTGGCTACCCACAATGCCAGTTCAAGTAGTAGATAGAAGCTTTTGGGGTTGTGACTAATCATGGGGTGGACCAGATTTTTCATAAGTTTCCGTCTTTGCTAATGCCCATGATTTTTCTTGTCAAAGTTCTTGAATCTGATTAATTACTGGGGCTTTGTAAGGGGAGAGACTTAATGAATGAGATGACTACATGGTATCAACAGATTAATCCTTCCTTTCCTTCTCTCTCTCTCCCTCTAGCCGTAACCAAGGCATCGACAAGAAGCATGATGGAGTATGTCTTAAGGTAAGGTCTGAGGTCGGTTCTTTCTTCTGCTGCACAGTGGTGGGTGAAATAATGGCAGAGCGCTAGACAGAAACCTCGCCTGGGATTAGTTCTGTGTTAAAAACACACAATTTCGAACTGTCAGAAACAGAATAAAAATGAAGAATTTCAGATTTGCAAGAATTTCTTTTAAATTTTGTTTGAACAGTTAAAATCAGTGAGTTTTAAAATACTATCTTGTGTATAACACTAGACTTACGAAAGGAAATTTTTTATTTCAGTAATGCTTCAGCATTATCAAAATACTTCGCTTCAGACTTAGACGTAGATGCTTGTTGAGAGAGGCTTGTTGAAGCTAAGAAATTCCCAGAGAAAGTTTGGATTTTGGCTAAATTGTAATTTTGTAACAGAAAAAAAAACACTATCAGAACATTTATCATAAAATTTGTTTATGAATATGTGGAGCACCTTGAAGTGGAGATGTATCTCTATTTTTAGTTTAGAGAGAGAAAGTAAAGAAACACTCTGGCTGTGCAATTTAACATAATGCCACAGCTTCCATTTCATTACACTCAGAGTAACTGCAGAAACACGGAGGTGAGCCTAAACTCCATTTTCAAGTGGTACTGAAATTTCACAGCGAAAGTTGCTGCCGCACAAAGCAGCAAAGATTCTTCGTGGTGGCGTTCACGATGAAAATCCCCAAGATAATAGGGATGAAGCCCACTTCAGGACAGGAAAAAGTAGATACTCCAGGATGATGCTGTACCCACGGGCAGGCTTTCGACTGTTTGTGGTCCTTCCACTCCACCGCGCTGCGGCTGGGATCTCCTGTCCCCTGGCAGCTCCGGGGAGAGGGGGAGATGTCTCTTGCACCACGCTCCATTACACAGGACTGATGCAAAGGGGACCAGAGACTAAAATGTTGTTTTGTGACTGTTTCAGGCTGACTGCACTGACTACCTGAGAATAAGCAGTGGTCGTGTGATCCCCTGCAGCATGGAGTACATACCCGTCTGCGGCACCAACGGGATTACCTACAGGAACAAGTGCCAATTCTGCAATGCTGTGGCGTAAGTGAAGGGGCCGGGTCACGGGAAGGATTTCTGGATCAGGAGGTGCCCATGTTGGTATTTCGAGCCTAACGCGGTAGTTTGACTTGTGAAATGGCTGCGCTGTGCTCATTCATTCTCCACTTGCTTTCTTCCCAAAGGAATGGACTGAACATAAACTTGGCCAAAGTTGGAGTATGCCTCCAGGTAAAGCACAGAAATCTGCACTCTTAACTGCTCTTACTGTACATTTTAAAATACAAATTCACTGAACCATAACTAAATAATAGAAACGCCTGCACTGTCCTGGTGTATTTGGCCTGGAAATAGGATTTGAAGAAAACAGTTCAAGTATGCCAGGTCAAAGGGTATTGCACCAAATCCATGACTCTCCTATGCAGTCCCCCCTCTGACCTGGGAACACAGCAGTCAGTGGGTGCCGAGACCTTCATTTACCGGGAAAGGGGGTGAGCAGGAGATGCTGTCCCATCCCTTGTGCGGGAGAGCAGAAGGGTCATATACTACCAGCACTATTCGTAGCAGCGATTCCTCAGGTGGGAGTACTTTCTGCAGCGCAGCTTGCAACCGTCCATTTTCTGTCTCTTGCCTCTGCCAGCCTGACGAAACACAGCAGAACAACCAGGTTGACTGCAGCGACCACAAAGACAGCAATCTCACCTGCCCCCTCCACTACAGCCCCCTTTGCGGCTCTGATGGCAAAACTTACCAAAACGAGTGCCACTTCTGCAACGCAGTTGTGTAAGTATGGAGCTCACCGCGTAGCCATGAAACCAGAAGAGCTGGAGCACACACGCATCGGCAGCAGCTGGTGTGGAAGCCCCAGAGCTCCCGTTAGCCCCTTGGTAAATCCATCCCTGCCCCACGTTCCTCACTGAAGGCTCACTCCTCTGTCAACCCCCAGGCACTGAAGATCTTAAGCCCGAATGAGTCTTCTCCTTCCCTTGCAATTAAATCCAGATCCCCATTTGCAGGCTCATAGCGTTGCTGACTCCCTCCCTGCCAGAGTGATTTAAACTGTGACCGTAGGAGGTGCCCAAAATTATGGGGTTTGTCCCAAATCTCTTCCACATGAGAAAGTGTGTAACCTGGGGAATCAGGAAAGAGGTGAAACATTAAGTGAAGCATTTTACAACTTGGAGAGCGAGAAAGTGGTTGCTTATTTGGGTAAAGCTAGCCTATAAAACTGAGATCCATGTCCGTAATTTTGTCTCCCTCTTTCTGTTTAGGCAGAACCAGGGATCTCTGTTCCTCAGATACCGTGGTAGCTGCTCAACACTGGAGCTGTACCCTTCGCCCTGATTTTTCTCTTACAAATCCTGCAATCAAACTCGCTCTTCCCTGCTCCGTTGACTGTTGCGCATTGGTCTCTGCTTTGATAGATCAATAAAACAAACGCAGCCACTCTCTTTGCCATGGACTGGTTTTTGGGTTTGGTGTTTTTTTCTTTCAGGGTAGGGGTAATGCTCTTCAGGCTTTTAGGTACTTATCTGTCAGGCAGGAGAAGTTGTGAAACAAACCACAATAAAGAGCAAAGGGTAACGCCCATCACACACCAGCCCAAGCCCTCATGAGAGTACGTCACTCCATACCAAACCATCAGAAGAGAAACCAAGCTGCTATAAAATACTGCCACTTTCCTAATTTCCATGTCTTATAGAGTGTAAATGGATTTGTCTTTGTAACGGCACTGAGTCTTGGAGGAACTGGTCCTTTTAGGGGCCCTAGCACGGGGGGGATGTCCCTGGGGAAGTGTGAAAGAGAAAAGTGGCCATGGTCAGCCCTGGCTGGTCACATCTGGGCAAGAGGCAGGTCTGGCCATGTATTATAAAAAAGAGGCTTTATGGCAAGGGGAGGAGGCTATCTCATAGGGAAGAAAATTAGGAACAGCTTCTTCCTTGAAGGGAGTGTCCATCGAGACTGTGTTGATCAGCAGAAAATTCCAGCAAGCTAGGCAAGGCCATAATGAGCCTAATGAGGACCCAATGAGAAATTAGACTGGGTTCAGGCTTTCAGCTTCTTGGAAAAGATATCTGAAAAGTTGCACTTGGGGTATATGAGGCAGAGGTAGGTCAGGGGACCCTTCAGGAAAAGGTCTTGGATTTTCTAGCCTTATGAAAGAAGGGCCAGAAGATGCGCTGGTAGCTCCAAGGTGGTTTCTATGTTGGTAAAAAGGTATGGAGATAACATCTTTGTGGGAGACTAAAGGGCGCGCTGGAGGAGCAATGATATATATGAATGTTCGTGACGATGTGCCATCTTTTTGGATGAGTCAAGGAGTTAATATGCAAACAGCACAGGCAAAAAGTCCCATGTGCTGTGGCTCACACACTCCCTTCCTCTTTCTTTATTCAATTCCCATTTGCTTGTTGTGAAGCAAGAGTATCTGCTGCTAAGGCAGATATTTAGGGTAAAATCTGTGACTTCCAAGCTTTTTGTTTGGGTCTTATTTCCTGAAGCAGATCATTTGCTGGCTATGAATTTGGTAGTTGCTTCCCAGCAGAAGTTAAGAGGCTGTCGTTTCCCCTGGTATTAGCACAGGGCAGTGCTCTGTCCTAGGAAGAGGGATGGAACTTCTTATTTTCAGGGTTTTTTTTCTGATAGTACAGGCAATATAAATCACACCATGTCTTTGTGCCTACTCTTCAGAAAAAAAAACTGGAGGGTCATGAGAGTGTCACTCACTGCGTACCTGCTTGTGTGTCTGTGAAAAATAATTAAGGAACATTTGAAGTAGTTAGTGGATATGAACAGAAACCTGTCAGCACAGGAGAGCTCTGCTATAATTTCTTGTTGGCCAAGAGGTTTATAGAGTGGCCACAGACTGGTGGAGTTTTGGCTGTAGTGAGAAATTGTCTTCTGCAAGCCTCCTGCAGTGGTAGTTTCCGCCTGGGGAAGCCAGAAACTTGCTTAAGAGCTCAAGAGGCTTTGGAAAAGCCCAAAGAGGTGCTCACCTACAGGTAAGGGGAGGGCAAAGGGCAAGTACTGGGTAGATGGCTGTATTCTAGATGCCTCAAGAGCCCTCTAGAAGACAGAAAGGTTTGTATCACATAAGCCTAAAGACTGGCCCACCACAGGTAAGTAATCAGCTTGACACAAGACTCTGCCCAACTACACCCATTAGACTGCAAAACAAGGTCTGGGTGTCCTTCTGCTGTCCCCGATTCTCAGAGAAATCAGAGGGAGAGAAGAATTCCCTCAGCCATGCCAGCAAGTGGCCTGTTTCAGGTGTTAGAAAGAAGTGGAAAGCGGTAATAATGATAATCACCTGGTTGGTAATTTAGTGTCTTCCTCTCCTCAGCCCAGAAGGTATTGGTCCCTGCGGTACGTTTGCTAAGGCTTCAGCCAGTCTGTTATGCTGCAGCAACCAAAATGTTTAGGTAGATAAAGGACTGAGGCGTCAAGGCTGTGGTCGTGAGCAGTGACGTACGAAACCAGAAAAGGCAGACAAGTAGTGCTGTGAGTGGCAGAGCTAAGCATGATTTTGAATGGCGCTGCGGCTGACTGACTTGATAACTAAATTATATGAGAGGCTGCTTCGTGAGCTCACCCTTGATAGACATCTGAGAATTCACCTGTCAGTCATGGTTTCTCTGCTGTGTGGATTTTAAGACGTATCGCAGGCTGCAAACTCTAATGCTTCCCCAGATGTAGGGCGTTCAGAACATTGCTCTCCCGTAGCAACTCTCTCCCTTGCTGGATGAGGATATTAGTAGCATCTTTCCCCTGTTGCTACCAAAATGTGCAAATATCTTTTGGGGTTTTTAATTTTTTTTTTTCCACTCCTATGTCAAATTTGGTTGGAACTATAGTTGCAGATCTAAAATTTACTGGGGAACTAATAAACACATATATCTATACACATTGCTCTCCTAAGCCTTGTCTCCTTAGGAAAGCATACTAAAATTTTAAGTTTATGCTTATCTGAGCAGATATTTTGCAAATGGTGCAGCTGAACACAAATCCTTGCACAGACTCAGCTGGAAATAGAGCTCAGGTCTCCCCATTCCCCATCAAATTCTGTTCATTGCCACTTGCTGTGGGAGCGGAGCCCTAACATATGTTTGTGAACGCGAAAAACTGGAAAACATTGACAGCTAGAGTTTAAATAGTTCAGGGAGGAGAGTCAGCAGTCCTATCTGGGACTGTGCACACAGCTAGGAGAGCGTGTCACATCGGAGCGCTTCTCCACCCCAACCCAACAAATTTAGAACCATCCTCAAAAATAGCCAGGGAACAACGTATAATTGATTTCACAGACAACACATTCTCATGCTGTGATTTATTTCGTAACGTCTAGTGAGTGTCATCATGCCGCACTCAAAGCCTCGGAGCTGGCATTCAGCGAGAGCCCAGAGAATGAAAATTACCAGCTTCCCCGATGAATCACCGCTTTGAAAATTCACCCTTGTGAGAATCCTGTGACTATTCAGAAAAAAAAAAAAAAAAAAAAAAGATATTACAAGCCCGAGTCTATCACTCATATAATTAGCCCTTTCTAGGTTTGATGTGGACAGGGCAGCATTCCTAAAACACCATAAACACGGCTAGGACCAATAATGGCTTTAGAAACGCAGTGGAGAAGTTCTCACAATTAAGGTGGGGAATGAGGACAGCTACAGATGGGTGCATAAATACACAGAAAGGGAGACCTGTGTGCACACCGTGGGCCCCGGTGCCAAGACGACACCTCCCGCACCGACCGCTTGGCTTGCACTAAAGAGCTACCTGCAGCATGAAGGCAACAGGTGCCCTAGTGCTTCTCAGCCTGCTGCTGTTCTCTTTCTTCTCGGGTAAGTGATCTTTTCCCTAGCCTAGAAAAAAAAAAAAAACAACCCGAACCTTTCCTGACAACAGCAAACTTCGGAGAGTCTTGATCACCGCGTGACAGGCTTGAAGATAAAGCTGAGCAAGTAGAAAATATCTGCGGGACTTGCTCACTCTTATGGCATATTTCCACTCCTCGTGTGCCTCTGCAGTGAATAACGCAGCGGAGGTGTCACTGGGAGACAGAGCGAGCAAATTCTAAGCGGCTCTTTCAGCAAATGTACCAAAGCAGAGCGTAATTATGAATTTTTGGTACAAATGTTCACTGGAGAGTTTTGCTGAACCAGTTAGAGAAGAAACTCACTCACCTCAGGGTCATCAGCTCTTGTTTTGATCCTAAGCATCTTGGTATTTGGTATTTTCCTTGGAGAGGTGGAAACATAATTAGATGAAAGTTTCAGCTTCCATTTATGTTGCAGAGAAAAGCTTGAAAATTAAATTCAAATGTCCTCGAGGAGTCAGAACAAAGAGGGCAAATTAAAAGGATCCAGCATTTATTTATCAAGAGATTTACACATCTCTGTGATGATCTGGGGAAGCTGAGTGATGATTTTTGCACATATAGGTCATGTCAGTGTTATCAATTGCTTGTGTCCAGCTGACCCAGCTCTGGAAGGTTTGTGACGACAGTTATTCAATAATGTGCAGAACTAGAATTATTTATACTTGTTTTTCTGTGAATAATTTGAATAAAGAATTGACTTGAGAAAATTGCATGCTGTGCATGGAGAAAAGAGGTGAATTACTTTGTACACATTATTCATTATGAAATATTCATCTGTCTCTAATTGAGTCTTAATTGGGACTGGGTTCCGTCAGAGCACTAAGCTTCCTTCCAAGGCCAGGCAGAATAGCAGCAAACTCTGTGATCTCCTATAAAATAAGCAGATGTCAAGAGACATCATCACAAAGTCTTGTGTAACCACATGTAATATTTATAAAAACTATCTAATGAGCTATTTTGTAAATAATATGCAGACAGCCATAACAGTAACTTCACGTCAAAGCAGCCTAGCCTAACCTGAGGACACAATAAATACACTAGTGCCAGGGACAGAACACTGAAGGGCAAAAGAACTGGCAGAAGAAGTGGGGCGGGTTGGTGGATGATGGTCCAGCTGACTGAGGGTTGGGTGGGAATTCCAATATGTGGGGAGCCCAAGTGTAGGACAAGGTCCTCCCATCTCCTGTCCCAGGGTCCCTCTTGCTCAGAGCCACCTGAGCAGCATCAGAGCCAGGAGTGATCCCACCGACCCGGCAGGTACAGCCTCGCATCTGAACCTCCGCTGCCCCGCTGCCGTGCGAGATGCTGGGTATTTGTCCCACTGTGTTGTGACCCAGATTCTGAAAATCTGCATTTGATCCACCCTGGAGTGTCAGGCTCCCCCTTAAAGACGTCGCAGAGTCGCCCTGTCCTGCAGCTATGACTCAACCTATGCACCTGACCGCGGTCTTTGCAGTGAAGACATGCAAGG